GCAAACTGCTTTGAGAATATTACGAATTGATAGCAAACTGCTTTGAGAATATTCAGTCAATTAATTTTGAGATGCTTTATTTCTGGTATTGTAATGAGAACTGCTTTTCAGGAATCAGTTATCAGTATTGAGTGTATTGTTCAGGAACCAGCACCAGAACCCGATTCTGATGTTACCTTGCCTGATTGGATTGGCGCAGTTAGGTGCAACGACAACTTGTAGGCTTTCTATGTATTGTACTAATTGATTTGATATAAATTTTCGATAATTTTCAGTTCTGAAAACTCATTCGTCAGATAGTCTTGTAGCAGTGATTTAAATTAACAATGCAATCAAATATGATGAAAGGCTGCTGCATTGAACATAGACCTACCTTTATCGATTAATCCATCAACTATTCCAGCATTGCATCTGGTACATATGGTGGTGAACTCGTGTTGTGGAATCATTATGGGAAAAAACTAACGTCATCCGTTTTACATGAAGAAGCTATTAAATGTCTTGCACTTCTGCCCGATGAAAAAGGTTGCTGAATTTGGGATTTCCAGTTTCGAATGAACTGTTCATTTAACACAGTAAAATTTAGTGATCCATGCAAAAAATACTGTGTTTTCTTACAGAAATGCCACTGAATCTTTGTTTTAGCTTAATTGCTTTGATTTTCGGTAGTTTACTAATAACTGCAATCATGAAATGGACTGGAATCTACTCATTCGTTTAGTTTCTCTAATGAGTTGTGTAAATTAGTTTTTGAAAATAACAATGATTTTCAGGAAGTCGAATTGTCACCGGTGGACATGACCAGATTTTGATGGTAAGTAATATAGAAAAAGATGGATCATCTACTTTTATAAAACCAACATGCGTACTTCGCGGTCATGAAAGAAGCGTGGAATCCATTGCCGTGAATATCGACGGTACTCGGACGGTTTCAGGCGGCTTTGATAAAATGTTGAAAGTATGGAACACCGATCAAGGTTAACAATTGTGTCATTTAAATAGGAGAATTGTTGTGTTGAATTTTCCATATTTCCAGTTTAGTGAATTGGAACTGTAGTCTTACTGTGTCTGCTTTGAAAAATTGTTTTATGCAGATGATACATCCACCGTCTTCGAAAAAGCAGGGAGTGAGAAAACGACCAAGAAGAAGAGGACTGATGTTATCACTAAGGTATACATCACCATTTCCTGGGGAATTATAACAGTCTGTTTTCATGCTATTTCAAGACTTTTTAAGAATGCAGGGTTCTTTTTGTTTTCTTACACTAATTTATTAAAACTTAATATTCTAGACTCCTATGGTTACTTTGTGTGGTCACAAGGACGCTGTTGTCGGTGCAGTATGGTCATCTAATTCTGCAAAAGAAGTGTTAACAGCTTCATGGGATCACACAATATCCATTTGGGATTTGGAACTAGCAGGTATGAAGCAATGAAGCATGTAAGAAAGCTATGTAGTAGTAATGAATTGTATTGGTTTCATATCACTAATGCTTATTATTATATAAAGCCCTCTCTTATAAGTTTCTAACTGTTGAATCAATTTCCTGTCATGCTTCTCGGTAATTGATAACATGTGAGTCCTGTCACTTGATATCTCTGTGAGTCGTAACATTACTAAGATTAAAACTGTTGTTGAACATGGTAAATAATTAAACAGACCCTTGAAAATGCAATCGTTAGAGCTTTTCATTGGTTATTCTACAAGCTAATTAGTTACCAGTAATCGATGTCATTCTGCGCTTTCAGGTCAGATAAGTACTTTAGCGGCAAAGAAGGCATTCACAAGCATTTCAATGTGCTCTTCAAGTAGCATGCTTATAACTGGTTCAGTGGACCCGATTGTGAGGTTATGGGATCCACGAAGTCATGGTACTTTTAGCAACAATTGGTTTTTAGCTCAAATCAACTAAGTTACGATGCGGAAATTTGCCATACATAAATGTCAATTCTAATATTTGGATTCTGAAAAAGAAAGAAAATCGATTTATTTAGCAGTCTGTATCTTGATGCAAATTTAGAAGGAACATTAGTGAAACAGTCATTTATTGGTCATTGCGGTTGGATCTCATCAGTTTTTTGGAACAAAGTGCGAGAAAATCTTTTTATTTCCTCCAGTTTTGATAAAACAGTAAAAATGTGGGATGTAAGGTAATCTTTTTTTTAATGCGTTCGTAAGAATATGTAGTTATGGTTTTCACTATGTCCTAGCTATGACAACTATTATTATGTCTATTATTATAAACAATGCAGTGTGAAGTGCAAGCCTCATTTTTACATGCACATACTGCATTACTTACATCCTTTGTAGAATACCGTGTTAGTTTTTTTTTTTCTTATATATATATATATATATATATATATATATATATATATATATATATATATAACAAC